TCAAGGTAGAGAAAACAGAAAGTTCAAAGGCAGGAATATGCTAGGCCAGCTAGAAAACAGGAAGGTCAGTATGACAACTTTATGTTTTTATATCTATATTTACTTGTTTATTATCCCGACAGGACAAAGGAGGTTTCTGGATCAGAGATCAAACCATTTATTTACTCACAGAGAACAGAGAAGATTGTGTTGACCTTCTATTCTCCAGAATAGAAATTCTCATTGTGGGGTTTGCAGGTGGTAGAGCGTGGAGAGGGAGAGGGAGCGATGGGAGCCACCTTGTGGGCACAGAGGGGTTATATGCCATGGAAAGTCACCCCCAAACTATTAATATCAATTTTCCTTCTTTGATCCAGGGAAAGGCAAGAGAGAGAATGAGTGAGAGAGACTGAGAGAGAGAGAGAGAGAGAGAGAGAGAGAGAGAGAGAGAGAGAGAGAGAGAGAGAAAGGAAAGTTCTCCAGACTTACAACTTCTGGAATGTAAATAAATGCCTTAGGGGCCTCTGGAATGTGAATAAATACCTTTAGAGGCTCCTAAATCTTTCCAAAGTTCTCTATCTTTAATGCTGCTATTCAGTCACTCTTTAAGCCAGGTGCCAGAACTCTTTGCATAAAGATCCCTGACAGTGAAGAAACATGAAAATAAGCAAAGAACATAGGGAATGAGAAGGAAGAGTGGTAAAAGATAAGGTCAGATACACAGGCAGAAGCTAAATAATATAAAGCCTCGGGACCTTGCCAAAGAGTTTGGAATTTATTCTGAGTGTAATGCTGATTTTTTTTGAACAGCTGTATGCAAGAGCACGGCATGCTCTGATTCTGGTTTTGATTGCTCAGTGGCATGAGAACAATGGCTGGGAGTGGGGTGGCTCCTGCCGCGGTCGTGTTCCATGGGATGAGGCCTGCCGCAGAGTGGCAATGGCAGAGAGTGACACAACTAGGCAGAATAGGGTTATGTTTTGAAGAAGGACTAGATACAGTGGGTGAGGGTTAGAGCCGGGGCGGGGGAACAAAACCATGTATTGCCATTCCCAGGTTTTTGTTTGGGCTTTTGTTAGTTTGAACAGCTGGTGATGACATTTATGTATTACAAGGGGAAGGATGTAGTGAGAATCAAGTTAGGCAGTTGGAAGCAGTCAGTCAAAAAGTCTCCTTTTGCTTATTATTGCTGACATGCTGTATCAGACGAGTCACCAGCAAGAAACAGGTGGCGCACAGAGTAAAACCTGGTTGAATGTTTACAGAGGTAGGGGAGGGGGAGGGGAGCCAGCACAGAACCCCAGGACTCTCAACGAGGAGACGTCATCACTACTCTAGATCTGGAAAAAAAAAAAAAAACAGGGGAAGGAGAGCATTACAGGACATGGTATGAGTGTTGCCATGAGAGCAGAAGCGGCCTTGTATCCATCCTCTCTCCTTCTGCTCATCAAATCCTTCAGGTACTTTTCTATGGCTGAATCCCACCAGAGCCCAGAGGGCCTGAAAGCCCAGGTGAGGTCATTGGTAGAGAGCAGGGCATGGTGCAGGGCAGGGCCACATGGGAAACGGATCTGAGAGCAACAGAAAAAGCAGCACCTGTGTCCCATGACCTCTGTAGGGAGGCAAATAGATACTCCGATTTGGAGCTCAGTGGAGGCAAAGGTGGAGATGTTGATGTGGAAGTCCTCAGCATTTCAATAATATTTGCCTCTGATATTAAGAGCTAATATTTATCAAGCCCTTACTTTGTGCTGGGCAATATATGAGTGTTTCCCATGCACCATTACCTCAATGAATTCTTCTAAAAAGCTATAGGCCAAATGCCATTATTTCCTTGTACACAGTAGGCAACTGAACCCCAGAGAGGCAAAATAATTTGTATAAGATTACACAGCTACTAGGTGGCAGATCCAAGAACTAAGTCCAGGTGTTTCTACTCATAGGGTTGGTGATAGAAACCATTACTGCACACAGCTTCTCTTGTCTGAGAGAATCAAATTCTGAAGCAATGCATTTGATCACATGATTTTTTTTTTTTTTTTTTGGTGAACTCTTTTCTCTTTTTAATTTTTTTCTATTCCTTTGAAAGAAAACAATTCTGACAAGAATTCATCAAAGGAGATATTCCAAATATTCATGTCCCAGTTTGGGTATTGCTTTTGATTAGACTGTTTGCAGGCTAGAATATTAGTAACCCTCATATTCCCTATACCACAAAAGAGAGTAGATTCACTTTTATCTTGGGAACAAAGCTGGATAGAAAAGCTTTTTTAACTTTTTAAATTCATGAAACATTTATCTTCGAGTCAGGTTTTGTTATAGCAGCACAAATGTGGCCTGTCAGCATTTCTTTTATAACCCCCTATTTCCAGGGCTTTCCGAGCATGCCTTAGAGATTCTACTTTGAATTAAAACTTGGCATTCAGAATTTAAATTTTAAAAAAGCCACATTTTCCTTACCAATTAATCAAATCGTTTAGAGATTTTCAAGTTAGAAGGCAACCATATGCAAGACTTTTACTAGTACAAAAATATTTTAAGACAAATTTGCTAATTTAAATCTTTGTAAAATTATCAACACTCACTATACAAGTATACCATATCACTGTAAGTTCTCAAATAAAATTAACTATAAACGTTTCTAAGATAGCATTTTAAAAAGTATTTATTACATCTTATACTTTGCCTTTTTGGCTTTGTAAGTAATTTATTTCTACTTTGGGAATTTGGGTGGTTTGAAGTTCTCAAAATAATTGACTTAAAGTTGTAGTAGTATCAAGACACTAAATCAGTATAGTAAGGAGGTGGAGGAGAATCCTGAGAGAATGACAAAATGTTTCAATGTATTTTTTGGAATTTAAAGATATGTGGGGGCATTTTGCACTCCGTAAACAAAGATTAGGAGCATAAATTGAGTTTGTCAATAGGTACTTGAAATTAACTTGTTGAGTACAATGGCAATAGTGAGGACTAAATAGAGTTTAGTTACAAGGCCTTTCCAACTTTGTTTAGTTCGGAAGTATTCCATGAATGACTGATAGCAATGAGGGGACGTATTGATGATGATCCGTCTTTCATTTCTCATTTTAGAGTCTTTTCTGTAAGCTTTCTCCTGTCATCTTTAAGCCTAAGTAAATTCCAGATAGTAAGTGAAAATAGATGAAGACTCTGAGGAAAGCTATTCTTCTCCTGACTGACTCCTTTCCAGCCACATTGGCTTCCTTTTTGTTCCAGAAACAAGCTCTATCTTTTCTTTCTACCTGAAAAACTTTTTAGCCACGTGGAGTGGCTCGAGCCTGTAATCTCAGCATTTGGGGAGGCAGAGGCGAGACAGTTGCCTGAAACCCAGGGGTTCGAGACCAGTCTGGATACTTGGGGAGACCTCATCTCTACAATAAAGTCAACAATACAAAAAATTAGCCAGGCTTGGTGGTGCATGCCTGTAGTTCCAGTGACTTGGAAGGCTGAGGCGGAAGGATCATCTGAGCCCAGCACGTTGAGGCTGTGGTGGCTATGAGGGTGCCTGGATGACAGAATGAGACTCTGACTCAAAATAAATCAATTAATTAAAAACAACAACTTTTCCTTCAGATATCTGCCTGGCTAACCCCCTTAGTACCTTCATCCTTAGTATCTTCCTTCTTTGCTCAAATCTCATCTTCTGAGTGAGGCAAAAATGGATCACTCAACTTGGTAATGTGATTTGCCCTTAGCCCCCCAGACCCCAAACTCATGATATTACTAACCCTACCTGACATGTTCTTTCTTTCATGTGTATCATCTTCTAACACACATTATGCCTTTTTAACAAACTATCTATCACCCTAACTAGAATATAAAGTCCATGAGCATTAGTTTGTCTATTTAATTTGTTGGCATATCCTTGGCACCCAGAATTGTGCCTGGTATATATTAATTGCTCAAAAATATTTGTTGAGTGAACAAATTGTTAAATGAGATCCACATTTCTAAGACCATAGCAAGAATCTCCAGACAATAGTCCATACGACATTCTCTGTCTCTTCTACAGACTTTGGAGATTTTCCTACAATACTCCAGAATGCCCTTTGAACATTGGTGTCAAAATGAAAGATGCCACATTTAGATATTCAGATCTGCATTATAATGTGCTATGGGTCCATCTTTTCTGGAAACATTTAAACTGAAGCTTGGACATTTTTGGAATTAATTTTAATTTTAGCTGTTGTTTGGAAAATATAAGCTGAATGGATGCATATGGAGTATGCTTTTCACAAAACAAATGCTTATTCTGTATTTAAAAATACCACTGTATATATTTCATAATATTTGTGTGCATGTAATGATATTAATGCTGAACTGTGGAAATTACAATGTGATTCTATATTTTAAAAAGAAAAAGAAGGACTGTCTCCCCCTCACTGCTAGCAGTAGTAGAACGGCTATGCTAAAAACAAGAGTTTTCTTTTTAAACATATTTTTTATTTTAAAATTGTGGGGTGCAGTTGAGTTAGGTATACAAATATGCATTGTTTAGGCACCCTTGTTGATAAGGAGTGTCCCCTCGTCCCCAGACAGATATTGACTACCGTTAAGCCCACCTCCCTTCCCCTCCCCTCCCCCCCCATAGTTTTCCGCCACTGTCAATCCTTTTCTTATCATATTACGATAGATGTTCGTATGAGTAAGAACATGTGATACTCAGATCCTTGTTAGGAGTTTTCTATAAGGAAATTAGTCCTTGGTCCCAGGGCTTGAAATCTATGCTAATTGTGAAAGGGAGTGAGAGTGTAACACCAGCTCAACTGAACAGTAGAATTTCAGTGTAGATACAAGTACTGTGGCACACTCTTTGATATAGCTCTGTATGATTCTGAATGGTTGACAGTAAAAACGAATATATTTTCTATCATGATTATTTTATTTTATTTTTTTAATTGGACTAAGAAAGTTTTTTTAAAATTTAAATAAAAGCATCTTTCAATTCGTTTTCACATACCCAATGGAATTTATTTGATTTTATTTCTGCTTTGTCTTCCTAGGGTAAATGTGAGCAGTCACTTTATGGTCACATGCATTCTATCAATGATGCCACCTTTGCTCCTAGGGTGAGTTCAATTCTCCCAGTAAATTTGCTTAATGCTTCATATATAAATTCATTTTTCTGATACAAATTTCCAAAGTAAAAGGGTAACTTAATGGAGTGAGAAGGAGAACAACTTTAGTAATTAATTATAAACAATGGGAAAAATGTGTTGACAGAATAGGGTTGCAGATTTTAAAGTACACGCACACACACACACACACACACACACACACACACACACACACACACAATCACACCACTACATAGGGGTAGGAGTGACAAAAAATTCTATTGTATTCAACTCAACTTAAACATACTTTTAAGAGCCTATTGTCTGACCAGGTAAGCTTGGTGGCTCATGCCTATAATCCCAGCACTTTGGGAGGCTGAGGTGAAAGGATTGCCTGAGCCCACAGGGTTCAAGAACAGCTTGGGCAACTTGGCAAGACAATCTCTACAGTTACAAAAAAAAAATAGCCGGGTTTGGTGGCACATGCCTGTAGTTCTACCACTTGGGAGGCTGAGGCAGAAGGATCGCCTGAGCATAGCAGGTCGAAGCTGCAGAGGCCATGAGTGTGCCACTGCACTCCAGCCTGGGCAACAGGTGAAACTCCAACTCAAAAAAAAAAAAAAGAACTTTTGTCCAATTTGGACTTCAAAAAAGTAAGTAGGATATAGACGACATTAAAACTTAATGCAAAAATCATAAAAATTATGAAAGTGCTTGAAAAGAAATTTGAAAAATAAAAAACAGTTAAAGAAATAGGAATTTTCTTCAGTTTACAAGAGAACAAACTTGATTTGACAATTTTTCAATTCCTTATGGATAGTTTCAAATATGGGTTCCTTTATAAACTGATGATAAAACAAAAGTGTTTTATCTGCAGCTTGAGAAATTTATTCAGCTGTAAGGATGATTTCACCAACAAAGTAAAGTGCTTAAACATTGCTCTGAGTTTGCTATAGTTTAAACATATTCCCCAAAGCTCATATATTGGAATCTTTATCCCTGATACAACAGCGTTTGGAGGTGGGGTCTAATAGGAAGTGCTTAGGTAACGAGGGTGCCCTCCCTCATGAATGAGGAGCTTGAGGCCATGGGTTAAATCTCTCCTCACTCTCACACCCTTTTGCTCTTCCACCTTCTGTTATGGGATGCCATAGCACCAAGGCCCTCACAAGATGCTGGTGCCATGGTTTGGGACTTCCCAGTCTCCAGAATTCTGGGAAATAAATTAAAAAATAAAGAAGTACCCAGTTTGTGGCAGTCTGTTATAGCAACACAAAATGGACTAAAACAGTTGCCAAGTTAATTAAGAATGTCTTTAAGGTTCAGATATTAATCATGGAAGGATGATTTAAGTTTGTTTCTTCACAAATGAAAGTGGTTTGACTAGATAGATGACCTCTCATGTCCATTCAAAGGCTATGATTTAATTATATCTAACATTTTAATTTGTCTCAACATTCCCAGTAGAGTGAAAATCTTAATTCTATATTCTATTTCTTTTCCAATTAGCTGAAAGAGAAATCTGATAGATTACTTACACTGGACTTCAAAATGATAGCATATGCAAAATTCTGTTGCTATAGTGCTATTATTATTATAGAAAGAGGAAAAATATTCACTAAAAATTATATCTACTGAGGGAATGTTGATTGCTCCAACTGAATTTGTGCTTGTGTCATTGTCAGACCTAGGGATTTTAATAATGGATTAAACCACAATTATATGTTAGTAGATTTGTCTTTGTAAAGAATTCTATTTAATTGACTGTAGGGAGCCAATTAGTTGGAAAGTATTATAATATAGATTGGTTCTAGATACTGAGTAAAATTTTATTTCTAGCAGAATATAGAAACATTTAAGAACTATGGATTCATGTGATATTAGATAGAGTTTTATGCTAAAACGCTATTAAGTGGCTTATAGTTTCATATGCTCTAGGAAAATTAAATGGAAGCTAAAATGAAGTAAACTAGAATTTTTAAAATCAGGTGTTTTATTTTGGCAAACAATATCATAGTTGAAAAAAATGTCATTTGACATTCTAAATAGTGAATTTAATAAATATGGAAATAGTCAAATTAGATTTATTGAATTAGCAATCAAGGGAGTCATACATTAATTACACATATTTCACAGGGCAAGATGTTGACTATGAAGTCCAGATGTCCAATGTCAAAGATGCTGACCGGTTTTTGTTTGCATGCTTTGTTCATACCAAGACAACATTGTGCTAAATCAGCATTTCAAAGCCTCATTAGAATTTTCCATTAATGGATATCATTTTTGCTACAAATATGTATTAAGTATTAAGAAATAGTGTTTTGTTACAATGACAGACATTTTAAAGTAATCTTTGGTCACTTATATTAACTGTTTTAAAAATTGTGGTTTATAACACATGCCTGCTAAGGAATGTCAGGAGGTTGGGAGGTAGCTGGGACTGCAGAGCAAAAAGAATTCCAAGCATCTCTTGAAGACAGCACAGGGACACAGATCACATTCAAATAAACAATCGGACAAAGTTGTGATTTTTAAAAAATTGTGTTATATTGTGCCTATATAGCAAAGACTTTAGTTATTCAGTATTAACGTTTCTGTTTGATGCCTTTAGGGATAGGCATTCATGTCACGTTACTAGCTTAAGTAGCATTTAGCTATTTAAATGAACATGGTTTTAGAATAATTCTACAATTTCAGGTTTGTAAACAGCAATCACAAGTGTAAAATTCAGGTTATCTGGTGAGCAATCTAGATCCATAGAAATAGGAGTGATGTCCGCAGGATACCAGAATAAGAGATAACCCACTCATGTCTCCTCACAACAAGAAGAATACTACACCCATCTCCAGACAAAAGTCTATCTGCAGTAGCTTTGAGATTCAGGTAGGAGGTTTAAAACCCCAGTGAAGCCCAAGACCCAAGAAAGTCATTGTGAGAGTGCAGATCAGCACTCAGGTATGTTCCCAAGTTCAAGTCCAGAAAAGGTCATATTCCCCAAGGGGCGTGGTTACATCCCTGTTTGCTCATGTGCCTACAGCAAAACCATCTGACAGGGAGTCCAAGAGGAATTGCATTGGCTAGTGCCTCAGGGGAGAGACTTGTCTGTCCACTGAATATAGTTTTGGCAATGAGCCTAAAAGTTGTCCTATAGCTTGGTGTCAGGATTCCTTAACTGAAGTTCAAACTCAGAATTGCTTGCACAAGAACATGGAGGGAGACCATATTCTATAGCCCCAAAAGTCTGAGCCTTTGTGATAAGCTTGCCAACATCCATCCTACAACAGATCCTGAAAGAGCTTAGTCTCAGCACTGGCACCTCCTACTACATTTGGGGAGCTATCCTATCCATACAAAGGTCTGCTGAGGGATACACACCTGTCAGAGCCAATGAGACAAACTCATCACCTGCTCTCATACAGCAGATCCTAAGGGAGCCAGTCTCAGCTCCAGTCCCTCCTGCTGCAATTAAGGAATGACCCCACCTGTACTGAACATGCTGGGAGACACATACCCGTCTGAGCCAGAGACGAGTTCACTAGCTTCTATCCCACAGCAGATCCTAAGGGGAAAAGTCACATTTCCACCTTCTCTCAATGAAGTTGGGGACCTATTCCACCCATACAGGGACCAGATGGGAGGTGTGCCTGTTTGAGCAGAGAGCTATGCCAACTTTGGAGCCTATACGGCAAATCTGGGCTGAGAGGGTCATCTAGTGCTTGAAACTCATAGCAAACTCATAGCAAACTTGGGCAGAGAAGGCCAGCTAGTGCTGAGACAACTAAAGTAGTCACAGGCTCTGATAATACAGCAATTAGTCAGTTGAGGTCTCTGGAAGACCCTCTGGAAAAGGATGATCACAAACAAAGACAGACTGTGAAGACTAGAATAAATACCCAGACCCTCCATGTGCAGATATTGTCATGTGTCCACTGGCATCAAGAACATACAGGGTAATATGACCTCACCAAACAGAGACCAAAGTGATAGGACACCAAAGACCAGAGCGATGGAGACATATGATCTCTTAGGCAAGTAATTCAAAATAGCTATTTTTTTCAAAACTCAACAAACTTCAAAAACACAGAGAAACAATTCAGAAACATGTCAGAAATATTTAGCAGAGAGATTGAAATAATTAAAATTTCAAACAGAAATCCTGGAGCTGAAAAATATAACGAATGAAATGAACAAAAAAGACACACTAGAGAGCAAAAACAGCAGAACTGATCAAACAGAAGAAAGAATAAGTAAACTTGGAGATAGCCTATTTGAACATACACAGAGGAGAAAAAAAATAAAGTAATAAAAAGAAATGGAGAAGACTTACAGGATTCTAAGGGACAACATCAAAAGAACAAATATGTGGGCTAATGGGGTTAAAGAGGGAGTTGAAAGAGAAAAAGGGTAGAAAGCTTAGTCAAAGAAATAATAATAGAAAACTTTTCAAACCCAGGAAATATGTACATGTCCAGATGCAAGAAATTTAAAAGTCACCAGTTAGATTAAATCCAAAAAAGAATACACCAGGATCTATTATATATAATTAAACTCTCAAATGTGAAAGACAAAGAGAGGATTATGAAAGCAGTGAGTGAAAAGAAGCAAATACATATAAGGGAGAGTCAGTATGCCTGTTGAGAGACATATCAGTAGAAACCTTTCAAGCCAGGAGGGCATGGGACAATACATTCAAAATGTTGAAGGAAAAAAAAATGCAAAAGAAGAGTATTGTATTTTCAAAAACTATCCTTCAGAAACAAAAGAGAGATACTTTCCCAGGCAAAGAAAATGTAAGGAAAATCACTGTTCCCAGTTATGTCCTGCAAAACTATTTGAAAGCAAAACCTTTAAATTGAAAAAAAAGAATGCTAATGTGATTGTTATTCTAATACTGTAATTGTGTATGTAAAACATTTATATCTTTCATATGAAGACAAAACTATTGAAAATAATAATAATTAGTTAAAAGACAGGCAAAATAAAATGTAAATTGTGAGGTCAAAAATTCAAAA